AAGGAAGACTCATAGTAATGATACAACTTACTATTAAAAGAAAGGTCTGGATATCTCAAAACAGGTGTGCGATTAAAATGCAAGAGCCAAGCGTCCTATTTTTAAAGCACTATCCCTTGTTTATGAATTGGTTGCTGTATACTTAAAAGAAACACCGTCTCTGCCTTTTTCCTACTTAAACAAGACACAATTCTTACATAGTAACTACATGTTATACAAAACCAAACTTAAAATAACTTATGCTGTACGTTTATGTAACTTAGTCAAATACGAATAACAACATTTTCTTGTTTTAAATTGAACTATTATTTGGTGGAATATAATACATCCAGAGGCCATATATTATGCATAGATATTGTATAAGGAACTTGCTATTAATTTTGTTAGCTGATACATTGAATTAAAGACATGATAGGACTAGGCACACTTTCATTGGTGCCAATACAAAATCACAGGATTTTCACCCAATAAGGGTTGCCACCTTTTCTTCTATTTTCAATTCCATAATTCTAACAGCTTTGCAAGGAGAATTTTAAGAATGATGTTCCTCTCCCTCATTCCACTGCAGACTCCATGCACAGAACAGCCATTTCTACATGACATACAAAACTATTACAAAGTTCCCAGTAATACCACTTTCTAGATAGTTCCCCAATTCTTTACATTTTCTCCTAGGTAAAAATCAGAAACAGACATGTCCCATTCCTGTCTTTCTTCCACTTTTGTGAATATGCTACCTCTTTTTAAAAAGTCAGGATGGTGGCATGAGGGATCTCTTAGTAAACTACAGTCAGATAGCAACCAGCCTAAGGTCACTGTGTCTAGTGCTTAGACTCAAAGACTAATGAAGACGCAATGCTCCTTCAACAATCTGTCCAGATTAAAGGAGTATAATATCTAGAACCCATATATCAGAGAATGATGTAATATTAGCTATCTTAAATCGCACAATTCACTGAAGGATTCTGGGCTGTGGCCCTGTTGAATCTGATTCAAACAACCACGGGTTTCTCTAATTTGCAACTACACTTTGAACCCTATGAACTTCCCCAGAGGAAAAGACTGCAACTCAATTCCACAGTCCAATATCCTATATATAGAAGTTTGCATGAGTTTTTCTCAGCAGCATGAGGGATGGCAACCTACTTTTTTTGAGCAATAACTTTTTCATCATTATAAATTGTCTTGTGCAATCAACAGCTACAGGGAAAATTAGCTGAATTCTAGTTCACTCATGCAGAACATACAGGTTCAAACTGATGCCCAGTAATGAACTTCTCACAACTGAATGTTTTGCATAGGTTCAACCCTGTAATACCTCCCACAGACATCATATGGATTAAATAACAAAATGCTGGGCCTGTCATTGACAGTGGTATTTCTATATAAGATAAGATAAAATAGTTAGGATGTAGGATTGTTTAGATTGTTAAGGTTGCCATAACCATCAGGGCTTCTGTATCTTTTTAAAATCTGATGGGAAAGCAAATTGAGAGAATAAATTGCAACTGTTATAATGTCTCCCTTTGCTACAAAATCATTATAGAAACAGCAATACTCATGAAATTCTGTCTTCTCTGGAAACTGTAGGTACAGGGAACTTCTCAAGAGTCTGGCCACATTAACCATACCCTGAAAATGAATGATTTCTGTTTTAGATTACAGACAGTATTCTTCTCTTTTCAGTTGCTTGCACATAATGAACCTGCTGGTATTTTCAAGGTGAAAGAAATCTTGGCACTTGGCAAAGGCAACCATGTTAAAATTGGGATGTATGAACCCATGTCAAAGTTTTATGAAGTTTCTGGAGACATACTTCTAAAGAATTAAGGAACAATGTGTTCTCGTTGAAGCAGCATGAGGAGTCAAGTATTTATGTTAAAAGACAAAACAATGAAGGATTACAATGAAAAAACTTTTATAACATTTGAAGCATTCACTATGCATTCCAGAGAGCAAATACAGACCCTAGGAGCTTTGATTGCCCTTTGGCCCCTCCACCAAATCTTGCACTGTGTCTATTATACAAATTATTAAGTCTTCTTGGCATTAGCAGCATAAGGATACTGTATGTTGGGCTTTGGTTTTGAAAAATGGCACCTGCTACTCAACTGTCACTCTACAAAGAAAAGACCTGGGACAATTTTGGACAGAATACCCAGATTAGTAAGGGAAGAAAGGGCAGGCTTGACTGTGTAATTTATATGGCTGTATCTAGTTATGTGTAAGAGACAGTTTTCTCCTACCATAGTAGATCTAAGACCCCACTAAAATCTGCAAATCAACTCTTGTATGACTTTGGTGGACATTATTTCCATCAGCATTCAGAAGGGTTTAGGATAAATACAGAAAAAAAAAAACACCCTAAACACCACTTCCAAGATTTTCTTTGCTAAAGAATAACAGTAAAGGAATTCTCACAGGTATGCCACAATTTGCAAGGTAAGAGATCTGGAAACACAGTTGAAGAAACATTTCATGGGAAGCAATATCAAAAGAAGATAGCTGGTGGAAGAGAGGTCAAACACTTGTGGCCATTCTGTAAAGGAGATGGTAACACTGACTTTGAATAATGTTGTTGGTGTTTAGTCCTGTTCGACTCTTCGTGGCCCCATGGAACAGAGCATGCCAGGCCCTCCTGTCTTCCACTGCCTCCCGGAGTTGGGTCAAATTCATGTTGGTAGCTTTGAATAATACAATGTAGTATATTCTGTATACAAGGTGTTAGGATGCAAGTCTGTTTATGAGATGTATTTGTTTATCCCATTCCACAATCCTCAGTAATTCTGGGCAGTCATTTCTTAAACAAGTTTTTACCTGGGCCTTTACAAGCCTCACCCCTTTGTAATATTAATTTTGTTGCGATTTTCTATTGGCCCATGTTTCACCATCCTGAGTCTTACAATAGTTGTTAAGCTGGGAGTTTTATGAGGAGTTTTTGCTTTCCACTTATTTATTTATTTATTTAACTTATATGCCGCCCACATTACCTGAAGGTCTCTGGGCGGCTTATAGCATTTAAAATACAATAAAAAGGCAAAATAAAAGGACAAAATAATTAAAATGCAATTAAAAATATATATTCTAAAAATTGCCATCAGACCCATAGCTGATATTATTTCAGTTAAAAGCCTTCTGGAACAGGAAGGTTTTGAGCTGGCACCGAAATGTCATCAGCGTTGGCGCCAGACAAATCTCAGTCGGGAGGGCATTCCATCGTCTGGGGGCAGCTGCCGAAAAGGCCCTTTCTTTACAAGCCCTCCCTCTTATGTCCTTAAGGGACGGCTCTTTCAAAAGGGCCCCCTGGTTAGATCTTAACTGCTGGGTAGGTTCATATGGAAGGAGGCGGTCCTTCAGGTATCCATGGCCCAAGTCATTTAGTGCTTTATACGTCAAAGCAAGCACTTTGAATTGGGCTCGGGCAGCAACTGATAACCAAAGTAACTTAAACAGAATTGGCTTGATATGTTCCCTTGTGGCCCCACCACTCACCAGCCACGCAGCTCGATTCTGGACCAGTTGCAGTCGCCGGACCGTCTTCAAAGGCAGCCCCACGTAGAGTGCATTGCAGTAATCTATGTGAGATGTTACCAGTGCGTGTGTAACTGTCATGAGACTCCGCTTGTCCAGGTAGGGCTGTAGCTGGTATAATTTCCGCAGCTGAAGGAAGGCGCCTCTGGCCACCGAGTCCACCTGGGCTTCCAGTGTTAGACTGGGGTCCAGGAGCACCCCCAAGTTGTGGACCCTGTCCCTTAGGGGGAGTGTAACCCCATTCAGGGCAGGGAAATGGCCCTCCAACCTGTCCAGTGAAGCCCCCACTAACAGCACTTCCGTCTTGTCTGGATTGAGTTTCAATTTATTAACCCTCATCCAGTCCATTATCAGGTCCAGACAAGAGTTCAGCACAGAAACCGCCTCACCTGGATTGGTGGAAAACGAGAGTTAGAGCTGAGTGTCTCAGCACATTGCTGACTCCTCAGCCCAAACCTCCTGATGACCTCTCCCAGCATTTTCATGTAGATGTTAAACAGCATGGGGGACAATATTGAGCCCTGATGAACCCCATGACATAAATACCATGGGGCAAAGCATCTTTATGTTGTATTATTTTATCTTATTTTCTTGGAAGCTGCCCAGAGCAGTGGCTTATCTACTAGATAGGCAGGGTATAAGTTTAAACAAATACAAAAAAACAACAACTGTTTACTGCTGAAGAAATGTCATTCTTTCTATACACAGAAGCTTGTTACTACTACTCGTACAACAAATGTCATTCTCAGTCCTTCCATTCTAGATACTGGGGAAGAGTACTAAATTACTACCCTGCCATGAAATTCAAGGTTTTACAATTACCCTGCCATGAAATTCAAGGTTTTACAATTTCCAGGATTTGTTGACCTCATGTTACCAAAATAATAACAATAATTGTAAAAATTCCCTGCCTTAGTAAGGATGTTTAGTGGGACGTTGAATCTCTCATTGGATTCAGTGACACTGACTTCCAAATAACCATTCGAAGAATTGAGCCGGGTTGTAACTTTTAAAGATACCCGCTTCCTGACAAACCTTTGTAACCACCACCACCCCCCAAAAAAAACAGCAGGACCCTGGTGAAGTCGCAAGGTTACTTCACTTAGCTGACTCTCTTGAAAGGTTTATATTATTATCTTTTGTTTAGGAGCGTATTTCCATGCTCATAAGGCAGCCAGCCTTGAAGTACTGTCGGTTGTTAATAGCACTCCAGATTCGAGGGTGGAGAGAAGAGCCGCCCGTAAGCAATCCTTAGCCTCATTTCCTCTTCGTGCCGAGACCTTCCGCTAGTAAAGGGGGGGGGGAGGTCCATTCAACCCTCAGGCAGACACGTGAAGAACCTTCACACGCCTCACCCACGCAAGGGCGGGGAGGAAAAGCTCCACTTGGGTCTTCAAGGAGTTAGCTGCTGCTGCTGCTGCTGCTGCTGCTTCGTCGTCGTCCCTTGCCTCCGCCGGCCCAACCCCCCCCCCCCCGAGCCCGCCCCGCTGGCTCCCGCCGCTTCCCTTCCCTCGACGCTTCCCTCCGCCCGGCGGAGGCTGGCAAGGGAATGACGTCACCGGATCAGGCTGACCGGCAATGGGCGCCATTTTGAAACCCCCAAAGCTCCGGCGGCGTCAGCGCTGGCGGTGGCGGCCGCCACAGCAGGAGGAGCAGGAGCAGCAGCGGCAACAGCGGCGTTCGTAGCGGCTCTCCTCCCGCCCCGGCCGCTTCTTGTGCTTCGCGGGCTTTTTGCAGCCCACTCTCTTCGCCCGGCGCACACTGCACGACATGGCAGGTAAGGAGGCACGCGTGGTGGCTGGGGGGCCCCAGAGGCGGCGGCTCCTCCGTCTCTGGCCCCGGTCTTGGCGGAGGGGGACTGGCCGGCCTGGTCTGTGGGCCTAGGGACGGTGGAGGGCGTCCTGGTAACCTAGCGGGGCTGTGCAAAGGAATCACGCCGAGCCGCTGGTCTCAGGGCCTTGGAGGAGCTGTGTGGCGGCGGCAGCGGCGGCGAGGGTGGCTCCAGGGTCTGGCAATCTCCGGTGGGGCTCACGGCGCTCTTTCGTCTCCAGCAGGGGTGGCCGGCGGCGGAGGCGGCGGCAGTAACGATTTCCAGTGGTGCTTCTCCCAGGTGAAGGGGGCGATCGACGAGGACGTGGCGGAAGGTAAAGGCAGCGTGGAGGGAGGGAGGCACGGACGGAATGACCCTGGAGCCGACAAGGCCGCCAAAGGCCTCTCCCTTCCCTTCCCCTCTTCTCCCTGCCACCTTCCTAGCATTCAGCCTCTCGTGATGGGGACGTTTGGAGAAGCCAGCGATGCTCTCTTTAAATGCTCCCTAAAAGCCCTTTTCTGCTCGCCCCCCTTCCCGTTCCCGCCTAGTTGGCCTTTTACTCTCTGGGCAGACTTCCTCTGTTCGGGATGCCGCAGGTCCTTGAGCACATGATGGGGTGGGGATGGTCCCTAATCTCTTGAGGCCAGTCAGGAGATGCTGGAGGTGCTGGGGTGTTTCAACAAGAGCTTTTAGCATCTGACAGACAATTCAAGGACTGCCTGCTCACCTGTTTATATTCCTCCGCTCCTTCTATTCCTCACACCTTTCCTTGGAAAACGTGTAAGGGGGGGGGGATTGCAGAGTCTGACTAATTGGCTGCCATCACTGCATAGTGCATAAAACAAGCTTTTTAAAAAAATGTTCCAGTGAAATAATAGATAGTGGAACAAGATAGTCAGAAGAAAAAGGGAAAGTGGCAGGTGGGGGAGAGTAGTTTGTCAAAGCTGTCAGGTTTCTACCTAATGATATTGGGAGGAGTGCAATCTCAGTTGGGATTAGTTTAACAGACATACAAGTTTTTCTCCCAGCCCTTAATGAATAAGTTCATTCAAGTGAATCTGTTTGGTCTGCAAAATTGCTCCTGTTTAATCTTTTACATGTTTACTCAAAAGTGATCCCGAGAAAGTAAATCTGCTTAGAATTGTAGCCTAATTGTTACTATTTTCATTAACATTGCTGCTATTCACAGTGTTCTTCATCACTTTTTGAAATCATAATTGTTAGCCTAATTGTTACTATTTTCATTAACATCGCTGCTATTCACAGTGTTCTTCTTCATCACTTTTTGAAATCATAATTGCTCAGGTTGTTCTTATTATATTCTCAAGTACTGTCACAAAGAGGGCTACCTTTATGTGATTACTTTTTTGCTGATGTTATTGCTTTAAAATATTTTTTAAAGTTGTAGAGCTCCTTATTTCTTTCATTGTACTTTCAAAATATTTTATTCAAAATTGTGGCTTTTGCCTTGTGTGGGACTGAAAGGTTTAGTTAGGGTGTGGTCTAGAGCAGTGGTTCTTAACCTTTGTTACTCGGATGCTTTTGAACTGCAACTCCCAGAAACCCCAGTCAGGACAGCTGGTGGTGAAGGCTTCTGGGAGTTGCAGTCCAAAACTCCTGAGTAACCCAAGGTTAAGAACCAGTGGTCTAGATCACCAGTGGTCTAGGCACTGGAATTTTAATGATACTCTTTAAACATAGTGTATTGCTTCGATGTTTCAAATGGGTTCAAATTCTGTGACATTATGTAAAGATATATGCAGGTGATACATCTTTCAGTGTGTTCTTAAACTGCTTCTTTTCTTGAAAGTGCATTCTGCAAAATGATACAGCTTGACAAATCCTTATTTTATTTGCTGTTTTAGCACAGTCTTCTCTGAAACTTTGTGTTTACTAGAATTTGCAATATGGGAAAAGGTAGAAGAAACATTTCACTTAAATGTTGCTGCTCTCTAGTACAGTAAATAACGTTAACTAGAATCTTCGACATATATACTGATTCTAATATTGTTTTTAAGGTTTGGTAGTGATACTTGATAGCCTATATATGGTTCTGTATCTGAGTGGTAGGCACCTACAGAACATTGTTAAGGTCTATGCACATTCTTATTGAACATAATATGTATGTACATAAAGACTTGTATTTAGAGTTGTTTATAGCAAAGCAGTGTACTACACACACTGCATTTCTCTACCTTTAGATATGCTGTATCTAGTTTTATAGATCAATATCTTGGACTAGACAGATAGAATCCATAGCTCAAATATGACACCTTTTACAGAAATACTTTCTTTTTTTCTACTGCAAATCCTTTCATGTCCCACCCTACTCTAGGGGGCCCTCTACCTGTCTGGAGGATGACTTTATTCCACTAACAGATTTATTCTCCCCTTCTAGATGGAAAATTTTGAATTTCATCTTTAGATATATGTCTAGAATGTTAGCATATTATAAAGTAATTAGCCCTGATGTGAATCAGTTTACTGTTTTTTTAAAAACCTTCCATCTGCATTATTTGAAGGAAATTGGTAGTAGTTTGACTAGCAGCTTTTGTTAAAGTTGGTGTTATGTAAAAAGGAGCAAACTTGATAAATTAATTTATCAAATATTGTCAACTTTAGTTTTTAGAACAATGTTAAATAACAGATTAGTGTGCTAATGACAAAATTTTTAGAAGGTTCTAGGTTCCAGTTCTTGTTCTTTCCAAAAACGTTACCATGTGTCCTGTTAAATGATGTGGAAACAGCTTGTTCACACATGCATTTGAGATATTTTTAGCTTGTGGGCACCACATAGTCAGTGGAAACTAGGCTATATGACTTAGGAGGGGAGGAGTGAGAAAATTTTTCTGGTGACAATTACATAGTTGGGCACACCTGTTACTAAATTGGACTTTTCTCTGTGCATTATCCTTTACCTGCAAGTCTGGATAACAGATGCCGTCTATCAGAGTATACTTAGATCCAGTTAAAAATTGGCTATCATTTGCACAACAGCATAATTGATAAAATAGTTTGTCGTGATTAAACATACTGCCAGTGATCAATTAATTGATTGGCGTGTTAACCCTGGATTTTATACATGAGTATTTTGAAATGCATGTTACAACTTAATTGCATTTCCTTATCATATTTTCCAAACTTTTAGCTCATGGTGTTACAGTAGAGAGTCATGTTTAGCTTGGTGGACTTCTCAGACATTGTAAATCACACAAAATTTGTCTATGGTTCTTTTCAGATATATTCAAGGCAATGCAGGTCAACCTACAATTACTGCCAAAATAACTACAGAATGTTCAAAATAAATTGAAAATAAAGCTGGTATCCAAACTAGATGTTAAAAAGAAAAATACCAGTCAAACAGTGAATCTAAACCAGTCTTTCAAGGTCAAATGCTATGAAAACACTCCAAATAAACACAAGTATGGAAATCACTATGAATGATTACAAAATTAAACTTTACTATTTAACACATGTTCTCCTCTGTTTTGACACCCTATACTTAAGGTGTGTTGGTATCAGTGTCTCATAGTAAATATACGCTTCCACTCTAGATTGCACTATGTAAGGAGCCTTATAGCACAATCCCATGCATGGCTAGGTAAAGGTTTCCCTTGACAATTTTTTTGTCCAGTCTTGTTCGACTCTAGGGAGCGGTGCTCATCCCCGTTTCCAAGCCATAGAGCCAGCGTTTTGTCCAAAGACAATCTTCTGTGGTCACATGGCCAGTGCGACTTAGACATAGAACGCTGTTACCTTCCCACCGAAGTGGTCCCTATTTATCTACTTGCATTTGCATGCTTTCGAACCACTAGGTTGGCGGGAGCTAGGACATGCGACGGGAGCTCACTCCGTCGCGTGGATTCGATCTTACGACTGCTTGGTCTTCTGACCCTGCAGCACAGGCTTCTGTGGTTTAGCCCGCAGCGCCACCACGTCCCTTCCATGCATGTCTATTCAACAGTAAATCTCTGTAAGTTTGATAAAATTGGTTTCTAGATAAGTCTATAGGATTGCCCATGCACTTGAAGATATGTGCCAAATTCTAAATTCATTTTATTTATTTTCATAGTAAGTCTTCACAAAGCAGCTTTCACTAACTTAACAAAAAGTTGCAGAGCATAAAATAAATAGGAATTTGTGTACATATCCAGAATTCTCCAACTATGCAACACAAAGGCATGTAATTTACAAGGAAAGGCATAATTCTGTACCATTAAATCTGGCTTTGTCAATACTTTGAAAAGCCAGAGTTTTACCACTTTTCAGTCTGAAGAACACTGACATCTATGTGGGTTGTATGTTCCATTCATGTTCAGTGTTGATAGTCATCATTGCTAGGAGGAAGTGATGTGAAAACAATGTGATTTTTTTTTAAAAAAAATCTTAATGGTCAGTTAAAGGTACCATCTACTCTTTCATTTGTATTTATTCAGACAAGGTTCTAGTATGATTTTGATAGCCTGTGATGGATGGCATAGTACTTTGTTGTGGCTAATTATAGCATCTGAATGGGAACTTTTTATAGGTTGTCACTTTTTCCACATGGAGAGTTATGTCTAAAGAGAGGAGGCTCCTGCTCCTGATCGTCAATGTAAGATAGCTTTGAAAAGCTTCCTGTTTTACTGGTTACAGAATTCCAATTTGCTTATATTTGCTGTTGCCACTTTGCACATTCTATCCTATCCTGCTTTTGTCTTTGCTGCCTTTTCTTGCCAAAAATATTGCACAACCCTGCTTTTGCATCTCCTTACTCTTTAAAGCTGGGTATGATAAAAGGAAAAATCATGTTGTGCTCTTCCCTTGACAGAAAACATATTGTGGTTGTGCATGTAGCTTTTTGTATATACTGGTGGTAGAAGGTGCATAATAGGGACATGTCTACTGTTACTGTATAGCTGCTCAGTAAGCAGCAAATTGAGCCCTTGAGCTATATAAGAATATTTGTGTCACAAAAGGTACACTACCCACAGGCATAACACTTCATTTCAAAATATGCACTCAATCAAGCCCATCTTTTTTCTGTTAGCTATGCAAGATTCTCCAGTTTCATGATAAAAACATCTTCAACTTTTCAACGAAATCAGCTGTCTCCTAACCTATAGTTAAATATGCCTTTATACTACTGTTTTCCACTATGAAGTTCATAGTGGAACTGCATGGTCACCCATTATCAATCTTTTCATGGTGGGTCTAAAACAGTGTGGTATGCCATCATTATTTTTGCTCTTGCAAATTCTCTGGCATGTGTGGACACTTAAGAGTTGGTTGATAATTTTCCTTTACCAAAGTATAGGCAAAGTGAGTTAGAGCAGATGTAACTAGTGTAAAAGT